GAATAAAAAAAGATTTAATAAAAAGAAACCTGCTGTAGTGAAAAATAGTGTTTTACTATATGAAACCATTAACATTTGGGAGGAAATTTAATATCATTTACAAAATTGAATAAACGCACTGGACAAAGGGTCTGAGAGAGAAATGGTTTAACACTTAATATTGGAACAGTGGCTAACACAGGACAGTAACAGTAGGGTGCAGTGACATTTCAATCCTCTTCATGGCAAAGTGACAGCCTAGAGTCTGCCCCCTCCGTGAGCAGCGTGCTTTTGGCCTCATGGCCCTGGCTTGTTTCCTGGCATGTAGCCATCTGAAAAAACTCCAGGTTTCTCTGAGCTTTTCCCGCAAGGACCTTCAAGGAACAGGGTAGAGAGCCACAGTAGCAGGCCAGGCCTGTGACACTAGCCACAAAACCCAGGGTTTGTGATGCCCCTGCTCACCAGCAGTATCCTTCCAGATAGCTGACTGTTCCTTCGGCTGTACAGAGGTGATAGCAGATGGGTTGGACTTAATTAGTGTCCAGATATGCCTGTCGCCTGTCGTGAGTTTTAGAAAGCTCAAGAATTGTTCTTTCTAGGCCAGGCCCAGAACCCCCAGGTAGGAATGTGCTGGCTGGGACATGTGCTCTTCTGTGTTTGGAGCAATGCTGCCTCTGCCAGAGCGCATATGGAAATGTTCTTCTACAGGAAGAATGGGAAAGCATTCACTGAGAGCGTCCTCTACTCAGCTGATGAAGACACAGGGTGTCATTACTAATGGTCGAGCATGTGGCATAAGGGGCAGGTGTCCAGGGCAAGGAGCTAAAACAGTGACGTGGTCAGGGGTTCTGCCAGGCTTCCTGTGTCACCTTGGTCAACTTGATGGTGATGAGCTGCGCTTTCCTCGGCAGTGAACTGGAAACAAATTTCAGGTTTTCTGAGACCCTTAGTTAAAACTTCTTTGACTGGTGTGGTGCTGATCTTGGTGGGTAAAGGCTTCCAACGACAAGAAGTTTTATCGAGGTAGCTGAGATAAAAAATACCAAGCTACTGGGAGGGAAGATCAGAGAGTACCCGGAGCTCCTACAAGAGTAAAGGCTCCATTGTTTCCATTTGTGGTTGTGAGTTTAAACATGCATGGACGTGAATGGCTTCTCCCAGAGAGGTTTCGCCTCTGTGCTTCAAATGGACACAGAAGTCTGGGTTGCACGATAAACTCCCATTTCCCCCGGATCTAAACGACTAAATAACAGACAGACTACTAAAAGCTGTGATTGCGTTCTTGTGCCCCCGCTGTTTAAGCATCATGCTTTATGATAGACTTATGCTGTGGGTCACTGAAAAGCAGTTTAGTTTTCAGAACCTTCTGTAGCTGTTCGTTTCTAGGCCATAAAACGACGTGGCTTCCGTAATCCCATCGGGTATTTTAAATTGTTAGAAGAATGTATTGTTTGGTTCACTGACACTCTCAAATCTGTTTAATCACCTTCAAAATATTTAAATTAACGAAAGTGTTGGCGAATTACTAATTGCCCTAGGACTGATCATTTAACTGCAACAAAATAGTAGTTCCCGTCTTCGTGCCACACGGAAAGGCAGGGAAGCCCGCAGGTGATTAATTGGTGCTGTCCCTCTACCACTTACCAGTCAACTGAGGGAATGTTCAAACAAATCACTCATCCATTTTGGGCTTTCGTTTTCCTTAATCAGAAAACTAGAAAAATCGGTGCCAGTTCTTGGATGAAATAAGTTAGAAATATTCCAGGTGCTTCCTTCCCATAGTCTCTGCGCACTGCTGACCGCTGGAAAAAATGCCCGTTTGTTGTCCCTAACTCTGCTGCCGTCACACTTTCCAGCATGTGTGGCGCCTTCACCCACACTTTCCTGTTTGAGGGTCATAATAATGCTGTAAGACGGGTGAAGCAAAGATCACAAACCATAAAAGAAAGCTTTGAGATCAAAATTCGTTCATAGTATCAGATCTAGTATGTCAGAGCCGCAAGGTGGAACTTGCTGTCAATCCTGATGCCCTGCGTTCAGTCCCCACATGGTAGGAGAGAACAGATTCTTGCTTGTTGTACTCTATCCTCTTCACATACACTGCATACATGCACACTCACATATATACATGACCACATATGATAAAGTACAATAAATAAACAAAAACAGTGAAGATTAAAAACCTGGCATGTTGACAGTGGCCACCAAGGTACTTGGACTGGCGGTTCCCACACTCTCATCGTACGCAGACCTCCTCACCATGCTGGAGAGAAGAGTGCTGACCTAGCACACGGGTCTCCTAGATATTCTGTTCCCAGTAACCGCATGCACCTAGGATCCCACCATGACGTGGAGGTGGTCAGGACCTTTTTGATTTTGTGGTCAGACATCGTGTTACTGTCCCCAGCTTACACAGCAGCAGCATAAAGTAGCTTAAGATAAAGGAGTTTCCTTTGTCAAAGGGGGAGGGGGTAAGGGAGGGGGTGTATCCACATCCTTCAGCAGTGGCTCAGTGCTTCAAGTTTGGCCCTCTCCCAATCACACTAACGTGTAGCAGAAGTGCTGGCTGAAATGACGGCAGAGCTGACACTGTAGCCGCGTCCCGGCTTTGTCCCAAATTCACAATTATTTTTCCTCCAAAGTTTCACCCAAAGAGCTTACATCTTCACTGTATCATTGGAATCTTCCGAAACGATGTCCGTTTCCATTGATGCTAAGACAAAAGCTCCAGCCCCCAGAAAATACCAGGCAACGGAGCTCCGATAATTAAGCAGTGACATTGCTCAGAGGGTGCTTGCCTTGCTTTGGTCTGGATCCAGTGGGAATGTGAATGATCCAACCCTAGGGACGGTGCTGACGTTAGGAAATTCAGCACTGCCCCTACCAGCTGGCCTTGTCTGAAGGTAAAGAAATGTCCACTGCAAGAGAATAACAGGATCGTTGTGCCGGCAATAAAAGAGAAACGGAAGCCAAAGGTGGACTGAAACACCTCGCGCCGTTTTCTAGAACCTCACTCTACTGATGATTAACCTCCCAGCCCTGCAGTAACTCGCTCGGATCTTGTCAGGGCAGCAGCTGAAATGCAACCTGGGTTTAATCATCTGATCAAATAGCACTGTCTAAAAATTAGAAATTGTAACCCATGAAAATCATTTATTTTCTCTTTCAATTCTCTTTCAGAGAAATAAGTATTTTTGTTTGTTTTGTTTTTTAGTTATGGGGGGTATTTGAACATAGATGCAAAGTATTAGGCTGTGTTTTTTATTTTGGTACCAGAAACCAGGCATTTAAAAAAAAAATCACTGGATTTAATAATTTTGAATCTTTGTGTCTCCTCTGAGATAGGACCAGATGTAACCAGAAGGATTTATAGGGTGTAAAATTGAGAATGGATTAGGAAAGGCTTTCGGTGTTCTGCCCAACACATCCTAAATCAACATTCTCCCCAGCGGTCCAGACCGATCTCTGGCTGGCCAAGTGGGGAAGTTGCCATGGCAACTGACTGGCGAGCCAGCCAGAGGAATGTGAATGCAAACAATGGAATGATAACATTGTGTGCAGAGTTGCACACCGAGGCTGCTTCCAGCCAGGCACATCCCGGAAGTGGGAACTGGCCCACCCGTGGTTCCCGTCCTCCTGTAGATTTGTTGCTCATTTGAAATTTATTGTTTCCTTTCCCATTGATTCAAAAACTTTACTGCCATAGACAGACAGGTGAGGGAGAAGTCAGCCCCACCAGATAGTCAGAGCAGCGTTAGGAAGACCTGCCTGGCTGGTGGATGAAAACCCAGCTCAAAACTCCTGAGGTTCAAACAGGCAAAGGGAATTCCGGTGACTCTTTTGCGCCACCTCGTGGTCGGTTAGATGCAGTACATGAAGTCTTTCCTTAGACCCATGACCAGCAGCCACTGGACAGACAGTAAAAGTTAGAACGTGAATATGTGGGAACCTCATAGTCCCTCTCTCAGGAGAATACAAAGTGTCTTTTCTAAACCTTTCACACATACACACACACACACACACACAGACAGACACACACACACACACACACACACACACACAGAGAGAGAGAGAGAGAGAGAGAGAGAGAGAGAGAGAGCTAATAACTTTGAGAGAATGCAGAAATGAGAAAAGAATGAAAGTCTAAGTCACCAGACAAGCTAAGGGAGGAGGGAGCTGTATAACTCTGTTTTTCCAGAAGAGTCAGTCTTGTGGCTGAGCAGAACAATTCACACTTTGGTGGTCATGAACCAGCACGGAGTAACTGGGGAAAATACACTGTCCAAGGACTCACCATCAGTACCAGAGTCACACCAACTCAACCCCACCGTACTCTTCACCACCTCACAATCACGACATCAAGGGATTGATAATCGACTAAGTCAGAGTTCTCGCCATCTCATCAGACACACCCAGTGTTTTGCTCCTAATCCAGTCAAGCCGACAACCAAGAGTTAGAATAATACCAGGGGCAACAGCAAGGACTTAGTGTCAGTGGACTGGCCTGGCCGGGGAGGGTTCTTAAGGATACTTTTATTTCTTAATTAATTTTTTTTTAAAAAAATTGTTTTGTTTTGTTTTGGAGATGGGATTTCTCTCTGTAGCTTTGGAACCTATCCTGGAACTTGCTCTGCAGTCCAGGCTGGCCTCGAACTCACAGAGATCCGTCTGCCTCTGCCTTCCAAGTGGTGGGATTAAAGGTGGGCAATGCTGGGCAATGATTATGTTCTTAATGATACTCTTGAGTTCTTTAATGATACTGTCATTAACTCTTGAGTTCCTTTCATAAAATCTCCTCGCCCATGCTGGCAGCATCAATAAAACAGTAATGACAAATAGGACGGGCCTCGTCATTCCCGCTTTACGACCCTATATTCATGGCCAGTGGGGCGCACTGCGTGTTGAGAGCTCCCATCTCAGCCTAGACCACATCTCCCCTCATCACCGCCTCCGCATTAAAAAACTGTAACTGAGTCCGCTGAACTCCAGAAATGATGGAGCTGTTTCTGTGTTTCCTCCAGGGTTTGAGTTTTTTGAAACCAGCGCCAAGGATAACGTGAACGTGAAGCAAACCTTCGAGCGCCTTGTGGACATCATCTGTGACAAAATGTCTGAGAGCCTGGAGACCGACCCAGCCATCACCGCCGCGAAGCAGAGCACCACGAGACTCAAGGAAACGCCTCCCCCACCACAGCCCAACTGTGGCTGCTAATGTCCCCTACACAGGAGCTCCGAGGGGCTCCAGGGCGGCCAGGAAATAGCATTTATAAATGGTCTAGTAGCCTCCACTTATACTGCCTAACAATTATTTGAAGGAAGTCTTTGATGTCAGTGGCCCATATATGCATTCAAACCTTGAGCAGTTTTCCCGTGTTAGTACGTGGCAAACTCGACCTTGCGTTTGTAAGGGTCGTTCATCTATAAACACCTGGTACTTGCATGTAACTCGTTATTTATTTGACTTCTAGGATTTCTTTTGCAATTTTTTTTCTCGGTTAAGCTATTGCTGAAACCTCAGACTATAATTTCACGGCAAACAACTTTTGCGCCCTAGATTCAAATCATGCTTTTCATCTGTGTGGATGATGACCTAGGGACCCCTTGTGTGCATCCACTGTGAGCAGGGGGAGACATCAGGAAACTTAGTCTGGCTAAAAAGGAAGTGGGACTTTTGCTCTTGATTGGAGACCCTAACAGAGGTCTGAGCATTTACTATTAGGATTGCACTTTCATTAATAATAATTGAAGGATGTATTGCCTCTTTAAAAAAAAAAATGAAGGGAGTGAGTCCAATGGTGCTTGGGAGGCTGAGGCAGAAGGATGAGTTAATGTAGGCCTGAGCTACAAACCATAAAATTCTTATTATGGGGGAAAAAAAAGGAGAAAAGAAAATGAAATTGAAGTGTTTCCACGGCCCTTGTAAGTTTTCTAAGTCAGTAGTATCCATGTGACTGAATCCAGACAAAGAGGAATCGAGGTCCCTACCCCAGGACTTAGCTTCCCACTAATTCTGCCCACATCTGCCTGTGTGAGAGCCATGACCATGAGGAGACTTCTACTTAATGCCAGTTAAGTAACAAGCGTAGTGACCAGGAAGGCCAGTGCCATGAGCAGCCATAGATATCCATGGGCTGAGTGGCCGCCTCCACCCCTTAATAGCCTGCCCCATCCCACCATGGCTCTCTGGAGTCAGCACCAGTTCTAAAAGGAAGATTGGCTTGATGTTCTGTCAGGGCTCCTCTTCTCAGACAAGGTAGACCGACTTCCCAACCACTGTTCTCTGCTCTAACTTCAGCCAAGCTTTTCCACCTATCTAGATGGCAATCGGGTAACCTTCCCGGGAGTCCCACATGGAGGAAAAGATCCCTTTTATTGCTGTGTTTTTCAGAGGATTTAAGCATGTTCTCATCACATACGCCTCTAACCATGCTCAGGTTACACAGAACATTCCAGGGTGGAGTGAGACAGAAAACTGAAGCACCATGGCAGTTGGAGAGAGGGAAAGGCCACTTGAACATCTAGTCTTTTCTGCAGGTTTTCTGAAGACCATATGGAAATAATACACTCATCAATTTGTTACTCTCTCACCCTCTGTGTCGACTGTAGGAAGTCTCCACCTTCCAGAAGTATTTGTGGCTAGGATCTTCTGAAGACACCAGGCGGCCCAGATAGAAGGACAGGACAGTTTCATTAGGTGGACTTTTTCCTTTTGGGTGGTTGTGTAAAAGATCCATACACACACACACACACCTTTAAAAACAGAAAGATAGCTTATGAAAGTGTTTAACTCAAGCTTGCCGGGCAAGGCTGTTGACAGGACAGTCTGTGCATGGTTTCTTTTTGTCTGCTTGGTTTCAAACTCACACATCAGTGGTAAGTTTCCACTTTGACACCCAGAGGGGCAAGCCTTGGCTCACCAAAGATCAGAAAACACTAATGTCTTATTAACTTTTATTGACACCTAGATTTAAGGATCATAGAAATTAACGTGAAGGGAAAGAGAGAAGCAGAGGGCATGAAGTAGGATTTCTTTGCAGTAGTTACGTATTCATATGCCATTGGTCTATTTCTATGCCCTGGGTCAGAATGTGATCATGTTGAATACTATAGCTATCAAACTCATCTTTTAATCTAATGCAAAACAATGAAGCCAGGAAACCTGAGCCTCCTTCCTTGCATGCATACAAAGAGGTAAAAGATCCCACTTTTTGGGTGCTTTAAATGGCTTCTTCAGAAGGACATTATGTGCGTTATAAACTGAGAGCGGAAAGAGGGAAAGGGAAGCAATCACATTTGCTTATCTAAAACTTCCCTGAAGAGCTGAAGATTGACTGATCTAAGCCAAGTGCCCACTCACACACTCTGTCAGGAACCCCAAAGTTAGACCACTATGTCAGTAGACGGAGGGGCAACGCTAGCATCATTGCCCCCAAAACAGTTCATGATTCTTACTTCCCAAATTCCCATGGAAACACAGTCTTCCCCACTGAGTATAAGTTATGAAATTCTCCTCCTGCTGTGTGTTTCATTCCAAACAATTCAGTAAAGCTTTCCAGAGAGACTTGTCACTAAGATAGAAGAAAAGGCTGCCCCGTTCTTCCCACGACACAGGAAGAGAGAAGAGTCTCTGTTCCTAATGTCATCAAGATATCTTTGTTGTAAAATCAAATTTGGCAAATGGAAACCAGATAGCTGATCATCTATAAGCCTTGAGCTATATCTCTTATAAATTCTAATACTTTAATCCTGAGGTTTTTCCATCTTTGGCCACTATCCACATTTGTACAAATATACACTACATCTCTTCCCAGCAATGTAAATATGAATAGGTCCTTCTGACTAATGACCTGGCTAAATTTGTACCTAAAAAGATGTTTAAAAACCATATAGTTGCTCTTGTTTGTAGGTCTTGGACATCATTTCTTCTCTCTGATTCAGTTAAGCTAGGATTAAGTGTGTCCTCCCCGTCCCCGATTGTCACCTGGGCACTCTTGCCCATTCAACTGCTTTTTGGACTGAACCCCAACTATTTGAGGAAAATACCCCTTCCCAGGACACTGGTGTTGATTCATCTCTTTCCTGTCTTAATACAACTTAGTAGTTTTGCCTGAGCAGCCACCTTAAAGTAAGAATAGATGTGGGAGGTTCATGAGCTGTCCTCAGCCCCAGAAAGGCAAGTTAACCATAAGCATCACTTCCATGGGCTCCGGGGAAGAACTGACTTAGAACAATGGCAGGGTTCCCGGTTGTTTCCCTGTTCAAACAGCACCTACTGCCATCATGAGCTTCTAATGCCTACAAGGAGCAAGAGGTTTGTGAAGGTCCTCCTTAGGGCCACTTCAGGTTTAACACTGCTCACCGACAGGTACGTTAGTGCTGAAGTTTGTATTAGAAAAGGACCTATTATGCTTCAGTTGTACTGATAAACGGGAAATATAAATTCTCCAAAACCGCAGCTGAAGTTACGCAAGTCGTCAGTGTGCTCAATTAGAAATGTCTTTATCTCATTTATTTCACTTTTATCCAGATTTATTTATTCAACACATTTATCATTTTTTTCCAGGAGCCAACTTGAGCTTCTAATTTTAATTGTGTCTGTGACAGCAGTAATTTTAAAGTATATGGCATTCCACTATTAACTGAACTCCCACTAAACAACATTAACTTTGGAGTGATGTGTTACATGCTTTATCTGTCAGAGCGGGTAGTTAAGTTTGTCCTTTGGTCTGTTTTTAGTTACTTCTGTGGCATTTGAAAGGCTGTATTAAAAACATATCTAAATTCTATCAAGCTTCACCAAGCCAAGATAGAAGGTGCATGTGGTAATGGTTACAAGAAGGAGCTTACAAACACTATCAAGACGATCCTAGACCAAAAAGTTTATGTTTGTTACTAATCTTCATCGTAATGTTAGACCAATCAATCAGGTATCTTTGGTGTCCTTGCAAGCTGGCCCATCTGTCTGGAGAACTGTCTTTGTCTAAATTTTGGTCTTCATGACAGACCCTGGGGACTTCCTTTGTGGGTACATTTCAGTGTGGTATGTTGGGATGCTAGGTGAGCACTAGACCCTGCAGGCCTTTCTGCTCCCTCTGAATGGTCCATGGTCCACAGCTCTGCTTGTTAGTGGATGTTACCTGCCCCTTAGTTGTGTGCCGGTGGAATGGAGAAGTCTTCTAGGTATGCCAATCCTTTAAATACTCAAACCAGCTTTTCGGAGTTATTTATATTTTAGGTGACAATTTTTTCTAGAAACCAGTTAAGACATAAACCTGTTTTACACCCTTGAGTTTAATTATGACAAATTAGGTAAAAGATAAATTTGGATAAAGTGTATGAACAGATGGGGGAAAAAACTTCACCTCTATACAGCACCTAAAGGGCTCTTGATTCAAGACGTATAGTACCCCCTAAGGCGGGGGGGGGGAATAAATTGCGATGATTTATATAAAATTTGCCTACATATTGTTAGTGGTATTTCATAAATATATTTTTAAACCATTCTAGAAATGCTTGGCACTCCCATAAAAAAAATCTTCCTAGAGTTTATTGACATATTTACAGTTGGGACACACTCAGCCACTGCCCCTCTCATGACACACTTGCAAACACTGACGCTTTTTCTGGTGAAGAGAAGACTCTCCATCGATGGCACTTTCTCTGTTCTGAGAAAAGGGAGCATTTTGCTACGCACCGTCTGCCACTCATATTGTACTTCAAAGTTCAATGAAATAGATTCTTCGTGTGGATTTTCTTAGTCTGCGGCCAGGTCTTCTAAAGCAGAGAGGGTAGGAAGAAAGGGTATTTTTGCAAAACATTGGAGGTAACAGAAATAAATTGTTTCAAGACTGCACCTGGATTAGAATATTAAGACTAGATCATGTAGCTAAGGACATATTAGACTTCATCATTGCATGATCCTTTTATACTTCCCGATTTATAAAAAAAAAAATGTAGCCAATTTTAAAAGAACTCTCCTTTCAGAATAGCATCAAGTCTCACCACCAATTTCCCCTCAGCAATTATTATTGGTGGACTTTCCATCAGCAATCAGCTGCTGAAATAAACCTGTGGACTACCTGTGGATTTCATTCGCTTGTGTTCATTTCTCTTTCATTGTGGACAACTGAGAGTTGCTGTAGCGTTTTTATGTATGGAAATATCACCACATTCCTGTCACATGTGGCTAAGGATGGCTGAGGCTCATGAGTGCTGTTCTCATAGACACGGGTGGTACATGAGCCGTGTGTCTACTTGGGTGTCAGGGATGTAAGCATGACCTGTATCTTACCAGTGAAGCTTGAGGATTGTCTGATGTATCCATAGGATTAATCTTCCATGCATTGTTCTGTCATCCCTAGAAAGCATGATGAATGGGAACTGTCCTGTAATTCCTGTTAATATATTGTGAATGTCAGATGTGACGTGGTGCCATTGGACTGTCCAGATGTACAACTACCTACTGGTGTCTGTAGAACTGAAATGTCGTAAATGTTGCATGACGTATGTTCTAAAAATAGATTTGTTTTCTATTTTTCAACACCTCAGAAATTGAGGGTTCATGGGCCAATAAGTGCAATATTTAAGACTTACTCAGTGTATATAAACTAGCGTGCAAGTGAATTACAATGCGTGTGTGAGCTGCTCTGATAGCCGTGTGCTTATTTAAATGATTTCTTGTAGTAGTGTCTGTCTAGTGGTGCAATTTATACAGTAAGCATTTGTCTGACGCCATGGGAATCTCCTCTGTGCCTACTTAGAAGTACATTTTTCCCATTTATAAACAAAACATTTAGTACCTGAAAACGTATGTCAGTTTTGCCTTTTAGAATTGTGGGTTTTGTTTCCAAGAAAGAATGACTGAGAGTTTGTTTTATAAAGTATTCACCTCTATAGCTCAGAATTGCCCCTGATCTTCGTACAAGAGTGTCTCAAGCAGCTAATTTAGATACCTAAGAGGAATATGCAGATCCAGAAGCCACCTTTTCTCCTCTGAAAAGTTGATCGCGCGCTCTGTCTAGGGAGATGCTCCACTCTTGTATTGTATATAAATATCTTATTGTTACTTAATCTTGTTCTTCGTTTGCAAGCTCAGCAATGTCAGCCTTGGGATCTCTTAGCCTTATCTTTGAGTGTCTTTTTAGTTTGTAGATAATGTTATAGCCACTTTCAACTCTCAATTGTCCACAATGCTGATAGATTTAAAAAAAAGAAAAATTAATCAAAATCCTTAACCCTTTGGATGTTTTTACACACACAATTAAAGCTCTATGCTCAGAACCATACTTACTGTCTTGGAATTTCCTAGGGGTGTGCCCAGAGTTAAGATAGATCACCACTTTAAATTCCTATTTGCTGTATCAATTATTAAGGTAAAGCCCAATTTTATCAGTCTTCCTTTTCTTTCATGTATGTAGCAAGTCGTCTACCTTATGATTGAGTCACTGAAATCAACGGAGTGCAGTTGGTTCTAGAGGCCATTGCTATATGCACACAGTAAGCATTCCGTTCTCTCGATGACATCTGACCAGAGGCTGACTTGTGAGGAGTGTCAATCGTATTAAGCGATGTTGAGTTGTGTGGGCAATATGTGGCCCAGATGTCACTGTGCCAGGTAGGAAGCTGTGCTCATCTCTCAGAACTCACTGCAGAATTGACATAACAGCAGTGGGTTGGAGATGACGCTAACAAAGACTTGGTGCCAAATTAAAAAGAAAATAAAAGAGGAAGCGGGTAGCTGACCACAGAATGGTACTTTATGAGTGTGGCTACGTGTTTCATTTGTTGTCACATGGTCAGCACTGGGAGAATCCAACGTGGAAGAAGTGTGACAAAAGTAAACGGTGTAATATAAATGGTAGATTATGGTAACATATAGGAGCAAAAAAAGGGAGACTTATAATAACTAGAAAAGTCAAGAGTGACTCCTCTGAAGGGTCATGACCCAGGAATTAGGTGGTGAGGAGACCGTGCCATGCATGCCAATGCACAAGAGTGTTCCCTGGGAGTAGAAAGATGACAGAGTTCACAGCCCCGGAGATTGATACTGACAAACTGCCCAACTTAGCGCGCTGCATTCTGATCTCCGTGGAGAAGGCAAGCGGCTACATCGTTGTATTCCCCTGCACTGAGCAGCCTCAGCTCAGCCACAAGACACGAATTCCTTTCAAGCCACTTTAGACAGTTAATTTAGACATTTGCCAATGAACCAGACCACAAGGCACTGCCTAACCCAACGTCCCCCAGGCAGATATATATTCAGGTTTTTCTGTAGCTCTGGTTTTGTTTAAGGGCATTAGACAATGCACAAGGAAAGACTCTCCTTTGTGACCGGGTACTCTGGTTTCCTTCTTGGCGATGACACTGTGGAACTCTTCTCGAGACAGTATTTAATGCTTTCCTACAGTGGTTGTGGTGTTTAGTCGAAAACTAATTGCTGCATAGCAAGTATCGTGAATCCTCCCGTGTCCACAGAAGCTCTCGTCTGAGTTTAAAGCTATAAAGCGTATTCACATTGTGAAATTATTATTATTATCATTACTGAAATTAATTGTGTAAAAATGGTACGTGCTCTGTTAGGTATCTAGTTTATGTGTGAATTCTGTATGGAAAGTGGTTTTGTTCTCTGAGTTGATCTTGTTTTATTTTTTGAAGATTACAATAAATATCTAAGAGACTATATTCCTGAAATTCCAAGTCTTAGTGTAATGAATCTTTTAAAAACTTTATCTGTACAGTGTATTGTGTTTGGTTTAGGGGTGTCTTATCTTTACTTCTCGTAACCATTAATGTTTCTCATTAATAATCCTACACATAACACTGAGAATCTGAACTGAGGACAGACAGTAAATATGTATTTATCTAGGGCTATTCGTGGCCAATGTATGAATTTGTACCTAAGTACAGGAGTGATTTCCAATGACTACAATCTCTTAAGGTGGATAGCATTTTATTCAACTTAACTGTTCTTGAGTTGCAAAGGCCTTGACTATAGGATAAAAACCTGCCAAGGGAAAACCTCACCTTTGCTACCCAAAGACCACGGGTTCCTCTATCAGAAGCCTAGAGACCTCAGGATCATTTTTAACAACTGTTGCTACAGTCCTCAAGGTTGGTATATGGATGGGATGTGTTCTAGTTGGCTTCTACTGCTGTGTTAAGCCCCATGACCAAAAGCAGCCTAAGAAGGAAAGATTCATTTCAGCTTGCAACTTAGAGTCCATCGCAAAGGAAACCAGGGCAAACATTCACGGCATGAACTGAATCCAAAGCCATGAAGGGACAATGCTTAACTAGTTTGCTCTGCATGGCTTGCTCGGCCTGCCTTCTTATAGAATCATCTGCCCAGATGTGGCAGCAGCCTCAGTGAGGTTCACATGGCAATCATTAATCAAGAAAATGCACTGTAAACTTACCTTCATGCATTCTGATGGGGTCATTTCTCAACTGAAGCTCCTCTTCCCAAATCCTGTAATGTGTGACAAGTGAACCAGCTAAAACTAGGCAGGACAGGATGCATGAGTATAGTGAACATCATGCGATCCTCTTAAGTTTGATGGTAGAGACATCCCGAATGCTTTTCAGACTCTCTGTAACAGTGAGCCTCAGGGTACGATACAACCGCTGGCACCAGTTTATCTATAGCCCAGCACTCTGGAGGCAGAGTCATGTAGATCTCTGAGTTCAAGGCCAGACTGGTCCACATAGCAAGTCAAAGACTATCCAGTGAAAGATACTAAAATCCTGTCTTAAAAGTAAAGCCAACCAACAAGAACAAGACAAGAGCAGCTTTATGGTAAGGTAAACAGGGTAAGACATGCTGTATTAGGTGAGAAAGTAGGCGGAACTAGTAGAGACAAAGTATTATGTGTTACGGAAGTGAAACATCTCCAAAAAATCGGCATGGGGAATGCCTGGTCCAAGCTGATCAGTCTCTTAAGAGGCAGTAGAGAAGAGTCACATAATTGGGGTTGGCCTTGAGGGGAATTTGGGATCCCAGCCCCTCCTTGCTTCCTGCTTCCCTCTGTTGAGAGGTAGGTGAGCTGCTTTCCTTTGCCACAGGCGCTATTATTTCAGACCCAAAGCTACTGGGCTGAGCAACTGTGGACCAGCGGTGCAGAAACTGGACTTCAGAACAAACCTTGCCTTGTTTTCAGTTCATCCCATCCAGCAGTCTGTCATGGTGATGGAAAACTGAAGAGTGCATTGGTTTGTTTGTTTGTTTGTTTTGTTTTACAGGGAGTGAAACACAATTAATAAAAACTCAGAGAGAGAAGCTGGGGCTCAACCTGAAGATATGAAAAGCAAAACAGCCAGCCCGTGGCTCTTTTGAAATGGCAATCCTACCTCCAGTAACCTCAGAATGAAACTGTGTTTGAAAGCTGTGCCCCCACCCCCACCCTTGCCCGCAGTCTTAGATTCCTCTCTAGGGCTGGGATCAAAGGCACATACCACCCGATTTTTGTGGCAACTAGTGCAGCCACTGGGGTTCAAGGTGTGAGTCATTGTGGCTACTAGGATTAAAGATGTGTGTTACCATTACCTGGCCTATAAGGCTAAGCCGGGGCAGATGGGAGTGGGTAGCATTAGTTTTTCTCTCTAACCCAGGTGGCTAGGTTTGGGTTCCAATTCCTAGAGCTGGAATTCCAATCCAGACTCTGGCCTTGGCTGGCGGCTAGGAAGCTTCAAGCAGATGGCATTTTCATAAGTTCATGCCACAAAAAGTTGGGCGCCAAATGAAGCACGATTAATAAAAACTTAGGGTCAGGAATTGGGGTTCTGCGAAAAGCAAAACAGCCAGCTATTGGCTTTTACCTCAACTTCAGTCTGAAATGGCGATCCTGGCTCCAGGAATCTCAGAATGAGACTGTGTTTGATAGCTGTCCCATCCCCATTTTCTGCCCCTCCCCCACACCCAATGCCTTAGATTCCTCTCTAGGGCTGGGAACAAAGGCATGCACTAGTAGCAACTAGTGTGGCTACTGGGATTAAGGTGTGTATCATTGTGGCTACTGGGATAAAGGTGCGTGTTACCATAACCTGGTCTATGAGGATGATCCATGGGACTGTTTTACTCTCAGGTCTTCACGCAGTTTTTACTTATTAAAATACAATTGAAATGCCACTACAAGGTAGGTTGAACGAAAAGTAAAGGAGAGGCAGACCGAATGGAAATAAGTCAAGTTTTAGTTTCAAATGAAAGGCTTATATGTCATTATATGTTGAAGGAAAGTTCAATAAAGGTAGAATTACAGAGAAGGTAGAAGCAATGACCTTTTCCATCCAAGCTTAGCCTCCCGTTTCTATTCCTCTTCTTGTCACCTCTATGCTTTCCCTGCATAGCAGAGAATTTCTGTGCAACTATCTCAAGCTAATTGATTTTTGGCTTTACCTCACCTACCACTTCCACTGGTGTCCAGGGCACTGACCCTTTAACAAGTATTTACAGTGAAATCACCGCTATCCTTTTTGAGGCTGTTCTGTAGATATTGAAACTATGGTTTTCCTTATAATTTACAAACTAACCCAGACAAGAAGTATCTCATCTCCACCATGATAATATATATAAATATATTTATGTATATGACATATGATATATATATGGATATGTGTGTGTGTGTGTGTGTGTGTGTGTGTGCATGAGAGTTATATCTCACTAGATGTCAGGAAGTATTTCATCAGTCAAATGAAGGGTAAATTTAAAACCTGAGGCTACAGATGATTGGCCAATCACAAATCTGCTTGGAGGAGGAGGAGGCAGGCTGGCTCATGTTTCTGAAGAGTTGGCAGCTGCTCCCTGATGCTCCCCCACCTCCTTGGATTCCACCAGGTGTGAAGCAGTCCCTGTGGCCTTTCAAGTACCATAGAGCAAGCATCATTAGCATATCCTTCAGCGTCATTTTGCCCTTGCCTCTATATATAGAACAGAAAGTCAAAAGACAAGAATCACCTAACGAAGCAAGCCAACATTAAAAGGACAGGGAAAATAAAACTTTAGAGGGAAGAATAGTGTAAATGGTGGAAATTATGGAAACTAAGGCAAGTAATATTGTCATAACGAGAAAAGGCTGGTATTCACAAAAGACAAAAGCTAAATGGAAAAGTGGGTTTTGCCATGGGAGGTGAGAAAGGAGAGGATATTTACTAAAGTAACCTCTCTCTCTCTTTCTCTCTCTCTCTCTCTCTCTCTCTCTCTCTCTCTCACACACACACACACACACATTATAGGACAATAAAATAAATATTTCAAAGGAAAGAGGAATACCTTGAAAAAATACATCAGATTCAGGTATCATGAATTCAAATCTCAGAACTGAAACAGTTTTTGATAAAAATGCTGTCAAGATTTTTGTACATGATAAAAGTGAATGTGGTACAGAGTAGATCGAGAATATTCCTCCCCCTCTCTCTAGTTTGAAATACAGCTACTCTTGAGGCATCCTTCCATATTTTCGTCACATTTTCATTAACACTCTCCCAACTTTATTGTTGCTCTGTGAAAGACATTGCCATCTTTCTCTATGAACCAGAAGTGTTTCTCCTGTATGACTGACACATTGAATTCACAGTAAAAAAGACTTCAGAGAGCCCACAACTTAAAACAGTGGAGGTCTAGGAGATTTTTCCTACACTGTTGGTAGAAAGACTCTTTCAAGGACATTGTGATATTAAAAAGCATAACATCTCATTGAGATTCATGATCCTTCATTTCCATTTGATCTTCAGGTCAAGGCTATAAATAAAATAGTTTCAGTTCAAAGGATGCTATCTTTGGATTTGAAATGTAAATGTTTTAATAATCTGACCATCCCAAAGTCACTCCATGATCTGACAGCATAAGAGCAAGCAGAGTTAAACACTACCTTCTATCTTCTGTTTTCTTCTGAAGACTCTTAGCATATAATTCCAGTCGTCTATTCGCTTGGTGGGGAGTAGAGTTTGACACTGTTCTTGTGTCAGACATTCATGCCAATGATTCATCATCCTCCTTGCTCCTTCCATAGGTAGAGAACTTAGCCACTAGTCAGCTTGAACATTGTAGGGATAGTAATGGCCCAACCTGAATCAATTCTAAACTTGACTCCTTATATCCACTTGGACCAACTACATTAAAATCTCTAGCGATGGGGAGTGTGTATTTTTAAAACCTTATCAGGTGTTTATAGCTTCTGATTTTATAAAACACAAAACAACTGCAGCAAAACGAGAAATCACAAATCAATAATATCAATACAGGTTGCCCAGATGCAGAGAAAACTGGGGCTTTCTTTGCCCGCAGAGGTTATTGAGGTCTTCAAGGGTCATTACAGTTGTCCTTCTGCCTCTTCCCTCTTCCTTACATTGGGTTTGCCATCTGGACCTGCACATCCAACAGACAGAACTAGGTGAGCCCAGCAGAAAACAACCTCACAGGCGACAAATGAGTGGCAAGGGCTTTCAAAGTGACTTCATTCACCCCTGAAGAATTTTGTCCCTCTTATCGTGTCTGGCCTCTTCTAGTTTCTATGCCCTGAGTTGGACTTTGCTCCTCGATGCAAAGCCCAGGGGCATTGCATTCATTGGACCAGATTAGCAGAGGGAGCTCGCTAGTCCTCAATGAGCCACCTGCTACAGAACACACTCTCAGTGTGCCCATGATGGTTGTCATCACTCTCTGCACAGACTCGGTGTGGTAGGCCACC